GGTGAGCTGGATACCTGGTATTTTGTTACTTCAGTAGTATCAGGCACAGCAATTCTTAAAGAACATAATTTGGCAAAATTACACTCCCTACCAACTTACTACTTCATACTATGAAGTGGAGCATAACAAAGCAACTGGTAATTGGAGTACATATCATGGAATACATCTAATTGGAATATATATAAAAGAATGCAGATGGTATTTTTCCTCATGTCCAGTTATTTGGACAGCAGATTTATTCCTTTATATCTTGTGGGGGTTTTTTAATGCTTTATTAATTAGAATAAAACGAAGAGAGTCCTTTGGGATTTCCAACAAGATATAATTCCATCATGATGTAATAAATGAACAAGAAGGTAGGAATTTGATTTCTCTCTTTCTTCCAAAACAAGGTATGGAAGTGTGCACCAGCAGCTTGGGCTGGGTTCAGTTTCCAAATGAAAAAATCCCTGCCAGAATCTACTACATCATGGTTTCATTTCTATTATGGGGTAGCTATTGCCATCTGAATGGAGGGCAGAACTCAGAGTGAAGACACAGAGGAGGAAATAACAGATTAAACTTCATAAAACTGCTGCAGTTTTAAGGAAATAAGAGTTGCTGTTTCAGTCATATTCTGTAGAGGCACAAGACAGTCCTGACCTTGTGAATCCTCACAGGAGAGTCCCTCACAACAAGAGAAAACTGGAGGAGGAAACATTTCTGACTGCCCTTCCTTTTTTAGCCACATTGGTGGCAAAGAGCTGTTGTTTTGCATTAGACTCAGATCTTTGTAATCATCAAAAAGGTGCAATATTCTAAATATTTAAGACATCTGTCAGATCTTCAAGCATCCTTATCAGCTCTTCCACTTTTGTAGAAGGCATGTGGTTTGCACAGGAAGCTGCTGGTCCTCTAGGATCCTGTAAGAAAGACACTTAAACTTTGTAAGCTATGATTTAAAATGCCCTTTATTAGAGCAAATACTAATCAGAAGGGAACAGTGGGGTGAATCCCCTGCCCCTTTAGGTGCTGAGAGCCCTAAGGGTGTAGGTGACCAACCTCTTCATGTACAAAGGTCTCCCAGGTAGGATCCTGTTGCCACTGGTAGTTAATTGTTTGTTTCTTTGTAGGAGCTGGTGAAACAGAAGGTAAAACGTCAACTGAGCAAACATCAGAAGGCTGCTCTGAGGCAAAGGCTGCAGAAAGGAGAGGCAAATATTTACACCAAACAACGTCGGGAAAATATGCACAACATTAAGTCAAGCTTGGATGCAGCTAGTTTCTGGGGGTAATTTACTAAAGAACAGGAGAAAACTTGTCTTGAATAAAGGTTAAATAATTATGCTCATAACCAATAATCCTTTAACACCAATGGAGCTCTTCTCTACAGCTAACTGTTTTATTTCTGGAAGTGAATAATCCTCCTGAATCCTGTGACTTCATTTGGGGGATTTGGCTTTTTGTTTCTGGTTAAAAAGCATTGACTGTAATTTAAATTAAATTAGTAGTACCAGCTAAGATGATTTTAACTGCAGTCATATCATGTTGGAAATAATTGCACTGTCTTTATTTGGAGTAAGAATCTTGTGTTGTGCAGGGGATGCCTCAGAAGCATTTCTGCTGACAAACACTTGGATTTTTTAACGTGCCTTCACAGTTACCAATAAGTTTAATTTCTATCTAATAACTAACAAAAGTGATCAGGATTCTGGAATTTTTATTTTCAAAAATATTATCAAGACTTGGACTTCACTATATATTTGGGGTTTGAAAACCTAGAAGAAAAACAAGTATCTTGATTATTTTATTTTCATTTATTTTAAGGAAGATATGTCTAGTAATAATATTTACATTTTAAAAACACATAATAAGCTTAAGGAGAGAAGCATTTGTGAACACTGAGGCAACTGAAGCAAAAGAGTGAAGTTTTAATTCTGGAAAATTCCCAAGATAGACAAGAGCCTTGGAGTCTTTTCAGCTTGTAATTGCCTGAGTTTTTCCTCCTAGAGACTCTGCCCTGGTAGTTAAAGACTCTTAAGTACCAAGATAATTATCTGACTTCCCTCAACAATCAAGGCTGGATCTAAGCCTGTGGGACTTCATCTACATGGGAAGCCAAGCCCTGGGCTTGTAACAAAGCTGGAGTTGACACCTGAAGCATCTTTCTTCCCTTTTTCCTAATTAATAAACATCATTAGTTTGTTAAGAGCCAATCAATACACTGATTATGATCCAAGTCCCACCTTGTCAACAGATGAGAAATTCACCTCTCCATCCTTATCCCAGGCATGGGGGTGAGATCCCAGGACTCTCACCTGTTGGGTAGGAGGGAGAACACCCTCAGGTGTGCAGTGTCCTTTGCACTCAGGACACCTGCTGGCAGTGCTGCTGCTGCAGGCCCTGCATTTATCAACGGCCCTCTTGGACCTTGTTAAATCTGCTGCCTTAATCAATCACCTCACATTGATCTCTCACTGCTCTTTGCCACTGTCGTGGTTTGGGCCTAACACAACAAAGAACCAGCGCTGTGGCTGCTCAGTCAACTTCCCTCCCCCTGCTGGAGGGAAGGGAAGGGAAAAGGGAAGGGAAGGGAACCTGTGCCCTAGAATCCCTCACCAGCTGTCCCAGTGCTCTGAAGTCTCTTTTGATTTATCTTAGACTGCAAGTCTCAGCTTGCTCTCCACCTACATGAAAGATCAATAGTGGGAAATCATCTGAGGACTGTACCAAACTAGGAATGTTCCTAGTGGCACCCAGGCTCCAGGGAGACAGCAGACTTCTCTGTTAGGAGGATCTACTGGGCATATCTGTTCCCCTCAGAAGGGAGTCTAAAATAATTCACTTGCTGCACCAAGTTAGCTGAATGGGTTAATTTTAAAACCATGTGCTTTGGGAAACTGTCAGTCCATGATGCCAAGCATCCTGCAGGTGGTGGCAACATCAAGTCTTCTAAGAACTTGTGGTACCTACAGAGAAACTCATGTTGGTTCTGACCCAGGTGGGCAATCGACCAGTGGGAGACTGGAGCCAGGACCAGGAAGGGAGCCAGGACAAAGACCACAAAGGACTGGAATCAACAAAGACCACCCCACCCCCAGGAGACCCTCATCCTTACCAAGATGGCCAATTCCAGGAAATGAAACGACTACGTGAAAAAAAAAATATCCGGGAACTCCTTGACATAAAACTGAAGGTGCATCTTCTTGGTGTGTATGAGTTGGGGTGTTGTGCTGACTGCTTGGAACACTCGTGGTGGAGGATCCCCCCCAGGGCTGCAACACAGAAGGTCTGCTCAGGAAGAGCTTGTTTCTTGTCCCTGGGTCTTCATCTGGGAACCCTCACCCAGCCCCACCCCCGCCTCCCGCTTCGGGGGGAGGAGTGTTAGAAAGAAAAGGGGGGTTTGGAAGCTCCCAATTGTCGTTCCAGTTTGTGCTGCTGCTCTGGGGCTGGGCTGGGGAGGTTTGGGGATAGGTCTGGGTGGGAATTTTCCCAGGCAGGGACTTGGGGGGGGGAGGCAGTTCTGCTGAGGGGTGGGCAGGGGGCTCTGCCCCTCCTCTTGCACCTCTGCCATGTGCTGGGGTGCTGCTTTCTATTGGGATACTTTGGGTTCTTGGCAATCT